AGTGTTCATTGGCTCTTGTAGATACCTAAGGATTCTTTTGACAGCTCCAAAATGAAATTCAGTTGGTGAAGACATGAACTGATACACTGTATTTACTGCCTAGGCAATATTTGGCCTAATAAAAGTCAAATATTGTAAAGAACCTAGTATACTTAAGTACAAAGCAGTTAACAAGTTGCCTTCTGAACGTAGCATTTGATAGTGAGGTTTCAAGGAGTAGTTGTTGGCTTACATGTCTCTATACCAGCTTCATGTATCAAATCCTTGATATATTTAGACTAGTTTACAAAAATATCCCCATTTTCCTTGTAATTGATCTGTAAACCCAAAAACTGTGTGAGCTATCCGATGTCTTTTAAGTCAAATACCTCATACAATTCTTTTATAACTCTTTGTAGCTTCACAACATATGGACCAATTAAAATAATGTCATCAACATATAATAACAAGATGATCATATATGGTCTACCTTTCTTGACAAACAAGCTAGAATGTGAAGTTGAAGCACAGAACCCTAATGCTCCTAAGTAACTTTTAAATTTCAAATTCTAAGCTCTTGGAGTTTGTTTCAATCAATACAGTGATTTTACTAGCTTGCAGACATGTGTAGGATGAGATGCATTGACAAAGCCTAAGGTTGCTTCATGTATACCTCCTCTTGCAAATCTCCATGAAGAAAAGTATTTTTAATATCCAACCATCTAAGATTTCAGTGATTTATGGTAGCTAAAGAAAGAAGAATGAAATAAAAATAAAAAAATAATGAAAATGACTTGAAAACTTTGAGTTTTAACCAAAATGACAAAAATTGTTGTAAGTGAATACTAACAGAAGTGACTTTTTAAAGTAAAAATGTCATTAACATTAAAAGTGAATAATATCAAGAGTGTTTCGTTAAGACTCCCAATAAAAAAAGAAGAATGCAAGCAACATTCTCCACTTGCCTTCTCCTCTTGTCTTTCCCACTCAATGGATGCCATGTGGATTTATCAAACACAATTGAGATTTAATTTAGATGTAAAATAAGTCTACATGACATCAATTGAGTGAGAGAATAGAGGAAGACAAGTGGAAAAGGTAGCTAACATTCCTCATAAAAAAAAGATAAAAAAAAAAAAGGCTCACACTATAGCAATAGTATTATATAAATATCCCTCTATATAAAAAGCAAATTCACTCAAACCATTGTAGAGAAGAGATTGAATATATTTAAATATTCAAAATTGAGATTTAGAATTTGCACCAAAAAATACATGAAATTTAAAAATAAAAAAAATATATTTGGGATTAGGATCGAGGGACACTTATTTTTTGACAAATATTTATAGGACTCATTTTGTAACTATTTTGGATGCGGTCCTTAATCCTTAACATTTTTTTATTAAAACCTTAATATTATTCAAAGTTTGATCAAGGTCCCTTGACTTTGTACACCTCATTATATTACTATTAATATTTATATTTTTATAGTTTTGACATTATTTGATATTTTATGAGATTTATAATCCTCTAAATTTAAAATCCCACATTATAATACTATTAGAAACGGTTACAATAAAAAAATTCAAACATTTTGATTGAATAAATGGATAAAAAATATGTGAAAATAAGAAATAATAAATGGCAAAAGAATGTATCCATAGTGTTAAAAAAATTGGTACATTTTACAAAAAAATTGGTACATTTCACATATAACAAAGTGGTACATTAATAAAGAAGAATGGGTACATTAGAAATAAATTAGGGTACAAATAAAAGATTAAAATTTATGAATACAAATGAATTTTTAGAAATATAGGCGCTAAAAGAAATTAGTACATGGGTACAAAATAAAACTAAAAAGAAAATACTACAAATTTAAAAAAAAATGTTGCAAATTAAAAGTGGGTACAAACTAAAAATATAAATATATGATACAAAGTTTAGGTATAAAACATAAATATACCATATGTAATTTTTCTATTATTGATTAAATATACAATGTCACGTGACGGTATACACATGGGTACAAACACAAATAAAACTTTAAAAAATATGGGCACAAAAAGAAACTAATATATGGGTACAAATTAAAAATGAAAAGAAAATTGGTACAAATTAAAAAATATTTGCAAATTAAAAATAGGTACAAACTAAAAATAAAATTATATGATAAAAAAATTTAGCCATAAATATAAATATACTAATTGTAACATTTTTAACATTAAAGGAATATATTTAAAAATAAAATATTTTATTATTCAAATAATTAATGATGTTATTAATACCCAAGAACCTTGATCAAAAATTGAAAATGAATAGGATTTTAATCAATGGAGTAACAAAAAGAAGGATGTGAGCCTAATTTTCCGTTTTTCAAATAACTGAACCCTTGATCTTTTAAGTATTCCTTAAAAAATCATGTCTATAAAAAATCACCCAATTCTAAATCATATGACTACTTGATTAAATGATAATTATGATAGTCATTTTAGTGTTTCTTTGCAAAACCGCATTCGTCCATTTTCTTCACTATAAATGGATTTGTTTAACTTTTTTGCGACGATCTATGGAATGATAAATTGAAATATGTGTGTAAAGAACATGAGCGTCCTCACATCCTAACACTTTTATTTGTTTTGCTTATTTGCATCAAAGAGGAAAATAGGTATAAGAAACAGTTTGTAGGCCTAAATGTGAGCAGAAAAGTAATTAGAAATATTTACTAAGCACCCGATGTGTCATAATCCAAAATCACAAAATACTAACGTATCGTACGTATGCAAACTATTTTCGAAAAACTTTTTCGGTTTTGAAAGAAGGTTTATTAACTTTGTAAATGACATTATGCAATTTTTTCAAATGAAGTAAACAAGGAAATACTATCCAACCACTTTTATGGTGTGTTAATAGCAATTGTTTTTCTTTTTTTAACAAATAATATTATCTATACTAAGGGAGGAGGAAGGAGAGTTTAACTTCACAATGGAAAAGCAATAATATGTTTCAAATTCGCATTTAACGAGAATTGAACCTAAAACCTGTTACTGATAAATAAATAAAAAATCATTAGACTATAATACTAAATGATAATAATAATTGTATTTTGGTTTCTTATAAATAGCATTTAGAATTTGCTTTGAAGAATTCGTTATTATTTTTTTTTATTATTAATTCAATTTTCATGCATGATGATGGAGTGATGATGGAGCAAATGTACTTGGGGAAATTATCTTTTTGCCTTAATTAGTTTTTGGGGAAGATGAAGAATGGTACGACGCGTCGCAGATGCCCACGGTCAAGTTTGCGTCATGGGGGTTAGTAGTTCGGACCCAGCCGGCAACGCTGATGTCACGTGACCTACACTTACCGTCAACCTGGCACTCACGTGGCACTTGGACTGTAAAATCTCCTCGTCCAATAGAATCTACATATGCAAACTTTGGCCATCACGAAAAGACTAAAACCACCCTGACACCTTTGGGACGCACTGAGATGATAGCGATGCTACAGAAATAACATTAATGACTGAAGTGACCTTCAATGTCAAGCACTTGTAAAATAAAGTAACAGAATATTTATTAAATTTTTTTTATAAAAGTGGTTTTGAGAAGAAAAAAAGTAGTATTATAGTATTTGATAAATTTTTATATAAAATAGCTGTAACTGTATGAAATGACAAAAAATGATATAATACTAGATGTGTCATTAATTTAATTTTCTTAACAAATAAAGGTGAATTACTAAATATACTTTATTTTAAAAAAAAATTATATATAAATTTTATCTTAAATATTAATTAGTATGACAAACTACTTCAATTGAAATATTTTAAACTGAATAGCTAGGATTCATTAGTACAAAATTGTTAATGTACTTGAAAGTAGTCCAATTAGATGCATTCATCAAACTTACCGCTATTTTATTTCTTAATGATTCTATCTCATGTGATCCTTCAACTTGATAATTTTGGTATTCTTCATCATCATCATTACTACTATCGCTCTCTTCACAAAAGTCCTGAGGTCATCAAAATGGCGATCATGTTCAGAATACCTCCGTATGTAGTTATGAAGAGCCATTGTAGCATTGACAACCTTCACTTGCTTTAAAATTGTCCATTTTTTCTTCCATACCCCAAACCTTCGTTCAATGATGCTCCTAAGAGAAGAATGCTTGTGGTTAAATATACTTTATTTTAAAAAAAAATTATATATAAACTTTATCTTAAATATTAATTAGTATGACAAACTACTTCAATTGAAATATTTTAAACTAAATAGCTAGGATTCATTAGTACAAAATTGTTAATGTACTTGAAAGTAGTCCAATTAGATGCATTCATCAAACTTACCGCTATTTTATTTCTTAATGATTCTATCTCATGTGATCCTTCAACTTGATAATTTTGGTATTCTTCATCATCATCATTACTACTATCGCTCTCTTCACAAAAGTCCTGAGGTCATCAAAATGGCGATCATGTTCAGAATACCTCCGTATGTAGTTATGAAGAGCCATTGTAGCATTGACAACCTTCACTTGCTTTAAAATTGTCCATTTTTTCTTCCATACCCCAAACATTCGTTCAATGATGCTCCTAAGAGAAGAATGCTTGTGGTTAAATACCTCTTAATGACCCGTTGGTTCGGCACCCCTACAAAAATCCAGGAAATGATATCTTTCACCTTTATATGGTCCTAAATAACCTCTCATTTGTGGGTACCCCACATCTACTAAGTAATATTTTCCTGACAATTGAAAATTTTGTTTTGTATTGTAATAATTATACAAAGCAAGTATGTAAAATGTTATAATAAGTGTGAAGATTACCATTTGGAGGCTTAGAAAAGTTTAAATTTGGGTTTTGTAGCATGGATAGAAAAAACCTTGTATCATGTGCGGTCCTTCCCATCCGGCACAAGCAAATGTGAATTGCATGTCAAAATTACATGTAGCCATAACATTTTGAGTCGGCATACCTTTCCTACCAATGTATGGAACTTGATCCAACGTTTAACAAGAAATCATAATTCAACATTCAACATATAATCCAACATTCAATAAACACAAAATACAAGCAACATTCAACACATAATCTTAATGCAAAGTACAAACCACACATTGTTCTAATTCATAGTTTTAGCTCTTTATTGTTGTTTGTTGAACATAAATTTCAACCAAGTCAGCCGAACTTCAGGATCTTTTATCATGGCAAACATCTCTCGCTTATCTGCACTACAAAATAAACATATAGCAAACAACCATAACTCGCTAGGTGGCTCACAACTAGGCAATTGTGCAACAACCATTATCACTTCCGGAATACTACTGCCAATATGCAGCTGCTTCATCAATGAGTTTGCAGAACTTCTACTTCCATAAGCTTCAACAGGATGGCCAATTTTACCACAAAATTTTGCAGCACCTCCAATTTTTTTCCCTTTCTTATCAACCTTCTTTTGCAATTCTCCTTAGTTAGCCGCTCTTTTTTTCCCTTCCTAGTAGCTTGCCTTAGATCCTGAATAGTCTCATTTTCTTCCTCATTATCTGAATCAATTTGTCTTATAGATTCCTCTTGTCTCTGGTGGTAGTTCTCCATATGAAGGTGCTTAGGCATGCTCACCAGTAGCAACTGTGTTCGAGAACATCATATCTAACTTGTCCTCCATCTCAGGACTAAGGCCCTTATTCGCAATCTTTCATATTCTTTGTTTATCTACAAGTAAGAAAGAATATGGTTAATACATATTGCTTGATATCATAATACATAGTAAAAGATAATTACACAAACCTGAACTTTATTATTCCACCACTCCTTAGAGGCATCAATGGTACCCTTGCTCGAATTCCACCCTAGGTCAGTTTCTTTACCAACTAACTATTTCCGCAACTTCCACTCATTTTTAAGTGCATCCCACTTATTTTTCAATTACACTATTTCATAATCATGCCTTGTCTCTGCCTTGAAGTTAACTCTAATATTTGCATATCCTTCTTTGTTAAAGTGAGTGCCCGGACGATGTCCGGCCTCAACCTCCTTGATGCATACATCACAAAATATAGATATATTGTGGGCATTCCATGTAGCTGAAGGATTTGACGAAGATGCTCCCTTCTTTGCCATCGATACAAACTAGTGATTTGTATCTATACATACATGCATTCCATGTAGTTGAAGGATTTGACGAAGATGCCCCCTTCTTTGCCATCGATACCAACTAGTGATTTGTATACATACATACATACATATATATATATATATATATATATATTAAAACAAGAACAAATGATATTGTAATATAACCAATAAATAACTAATCAAACTTTCTAATTTCTTTATTATTACCATTGTAAAAATTTGATGGAAATGAAATTTGAAATCAAACTATTTTGCTAAGAAAAGATACCATCACTTGGAGAAATATCAGCAAACTCCAAAGTGGCTTAAATTGCAATCTTATGACTACAAAATACTTAATTTATTGGTGTGGTCATGGCAGGGAAAAAATAAGATCACAGCCTAAAGTTAGCCCGATAGCACCAGAAGTTGTCATTTCCCTTTGAGAAAGTTAAATTTTTATTATATTAGGCAACAATACGCCTAGCATCACAAACAACGTGGCATTGCTTGACTCTTAGATCCAACATTTGAGGACCTCTCAAAGGCATCTCCTTGACTCTTGGATCCAACACTTGAGGACCCTCTCGAATAAGAGATTTGTATTGGGGAATAATTTCCTAGCCAACAGTGGCATTGCTTTGGCCATCTCAATTTTGCAATACTAAGTATTTTGGTGAATCAGATATAACCTCCAAATAGTTATGGGCGTAAAGTGGTTCCTATTACATGTATTTGTAGAATTGAAGGATGGGTAGGCTTATGGACTGTTTGCTTTTATTTGTTTTTATTTTTTATTTTTTACATAACTTATGAGCATTTGGTATTGGAGAACGTTTGGCTGCTGAAAAAATCAGCAGTAGCTCCTGCTGCTAGCGAATAACGGGTGAACACGTGTCCAAGTTGTGATTAAAAAATCAATTACTTAGACACGTATTCACCCGTGATTCGCTAGCAGCAGAAGCTGCTATTAATTTTTCAACAGCCAAGCTCCGTTCTTTGGTATTTATGATTAATGTTTAAATTGCAGATATAAACCTGAAGGTTAATGTGATTCGTGGGCTATATTCTCAGATTGCTAATAAGGAGACTTTGACTGGGCTCGTATTAACTACCTAAAACCAAGTACAAACCAAGCTCTAAAAGCTCTGGAGCTTTATCCGTTCAAAATTGAAATATTCCAGGTAACATTTGATGCAATACACATGGAATAATTCAGAAGCAGAGTTCACGTCACAACATTTACTAATTCAGAATCAGAGCTTTATCCTTTCGTGATCATGATTCATACAGTTACTAATTATATATAACCTTCTTCTCACAACATTTTTCTACAAAAGGAAATGAACTGTTGCTGCACTTAAGGGGGGGTTCAAGGGCACGTCTTTTCACTACAGAATATATACGTAAACCCTAAGATAAATCAAAAGCAGAGTTCACAGACTAATTCTGTGAAATCCCATTCTTGAATTTCACTATTTAAAATTACGTATTTTATATTACGATGTATCTTTTTTTTGGAAGCACATTGATCGTATAATGTTGAAAAAGGGAAGCCACGTGAGTGGCTGAAAAAAAAATAGAAACTGTCGAGTGGCAGTAAAAGAAAATGGGGAGAAAAGAAGAGTTGGAAGAAGGAGGAACAAGAGGAACAAGGAGGGAGGGGGATGAATCAGAAGATGAGAGAGGTGAGGGTGACCAATGAAAAAGCAAAGAAAGGAAAGAAAGGAGAGAGGTGCAGGGTATCCATCATCGGCGACCCGTGCACCTAGTTTCGACTCGGATGGATTTCCGGCCAACTTCCACCATTTTTCAGGCGATTTTTGTCCAGTTTTCACTTGGCATCAACATGGTGTCATCCCAGCTTCCATTACCACCTAAGTTTGGTGGTCATTGGTCGTGATTTCATGATGAAAGTTCATGTCGGGCCGAGGGCACCATTGCGATGAATGCATCATTCCTGAAACAATTTGGTGCAATTGTTATCACCAAAATACTTCCCTTGAACCTAGGAACCATGCCCAGTCAATTGTTCAGACGTTGGGGTTCGATTTGGTGGCGATTCGAAGAACACCCTTTACAGGGTTTCCAACGGGTTTTAACAAAATTGGAGCTCTTCCTGGCCAAATTGGCCTTAGTCACAGGTATGAAAGTTGTTCCCCTCACTGAGATATACTTGCCTGTAAAATTTGGTAAATTTTAGAAATAGTTGAAATTTTCCAGCGAGTTGGGGCAGCGGCGTGTGGCCAATGGGCCGACAATGTCATTCTAAGTCCAATTAGATGCCCTTAATCCATAATTGATATCCGTATGAAGTGGTTTGATTGTTTGAACTTAGTTTCATTATGATACATCACTTGATCAAAATTTGAATCGACGATCCGACGTACGTCACCAAACTTTAATGCATTATAGAACGTAATATTTGAGGATAGCTAGAACTGATGGATCGGGAATCCGACGTACGGATCTTCCTGAATTGGATTTCTAAGTTAGTAAATTTAATTGTTAACCACCACCTAATTCTAGTAATTGGCGAAGATCCGATCGTCGGATCGCGATGAGATTTTAGTATGTTGTTCTCTGAGCATAATGTGGACTTTAGGAAGTTACGGATCTAGATTATGATGTGCGGATCTTCCTGATTAAATTGCTAGGGTGTGGACCCATCGTTGATTTTTGGTTAACATGTCTTGAACCATTTGAAATACTAGACTTAGTGAAGCTTTGCAGATTTGACTCGGTGAGTGACTTAATATATGTGATATGGTGATTACCCGATTCCTTATATTAATATCCTTTAGGGATATTAAATGGTTTTATAAATTTGATTTCTATTGAAATATGAATTTTATATATTTAGCCATAAACCTATGCTAATTAAATATGATTTGGCTTGTGTTGTCACATCCCGTATCGAATAATTAATTTTCGATGACGTGAAATGACAATTTTACCCTTGGACGTTAAAGTGTATTGTGTGATTTAAGTTGATTTGGACCCATTTATTATTTTCCCTAAGTTTTTGGACCCAATTGGAAGTAAGGGAATGGTTGGTTTTGATTGGTGGCTTTTGGACCACACACATACCTTCTCTCTCTCTCCCGTGGACTTCTCTCTTTCTCTCCCTTTCGGCATTTTCATACGGGCAACCCAGAAACCATCCCAAACCTTGCAGATCGAAACCAATGTAAGCATTTTTGGGTTCCTTGTGACCTCAAGAATCCATTGGTACAAGTTTTAGAACCTGAAACCTTCGAAACCCCGTGAAACCTATCCCTCGATTTGTGCACTGTTCATGCACACGTAAATATGTTGTTTTCAGGGAATTCTAAGCTCATAGTGAGCTTTAAGAGGTCCTAAGGAAGCTCGGGGTAGTTCGTTGGAAGAGTTTGGATGTCGTAGGGTCGAGATCGAAGCTTTTCAAAGTTGACCGGATTATAGAGCTTCCTCAGGTAACTTCTAGTGGATTTCAAGGCTTAAAAATGGTATAACGTGATTCCACACGTTGCTAGCTTTCCAATGGTTCAAATTTCGTAAGTTTTGGTGAAGAAATGAGTGAGAACAAAGGTTTTGAAGTTTTACCCAGTTTTCCGGCGACCGACGACTCGCCGAAGACGAAGACAGAATATTGCGTCAGTTTGGATGGAATATGCTGACGCCGTTAGTTAGATTTAACGGTAACAGTTAGAAGTTAATGGAATATTCTCAGAATATTCCTGACGGCGTTAACTGATGTCGTCAGTGTGCCTGACACATGGCCTCGCGTGTGGGTGTGTGAGGCTTCCAAAATTTTTTCTAAAAATTTGGGGATAATCCTAAGGTTGTGTAGGTCACTATGGTATATTCATATACCCATTTTGAGCAATGTATGAGAAGTTATTAGCTAGTTTTGTCTATGTGCTTTAAAATAACGTTTTTATAGTTAATTCACATATAGGTGAGACTTATCCCGAGGACGAGCGTATCCACGGGCGACTTGGGGGTTACGACCCGTCGACATACTAGTGAGTGGGCTTTTGTTTTCAGTATATATTTATATACTTGATATATTTCCCAGAAATGCATTTTTAAGGAAAGTATGCTTTGAAATAATATGTCAAATGCTTCTATATTCTGAATACACATTTCATGGTTACATATATATATATATAAATGTGGTGCTATGGAGGCACAGGTAAGTTCAGGTAAGTTATGTTTGGCTATGTGAATCATCGATGATGTGGTATGTGATGGATTGATGTTGAGCTCATAAAACTGCACCTAGGGTGATTGTGATTTAGCCAGAGATATGAAGTACATGCCTGTTTATTTATGTCACCTCCCACGCTATATGCTTATATTGAATCCAACTTAAGTGCATAGTCTTGTCGTACAGACCTTAATTATGGTTCCGACTCGTAGGTGACTAGCGATTTATCGCTCGGCTATTATGAGAGAGTAAAATTGAGCACAACTATATTACACCTAATCTTGTCGAACAAACCTTTTTAGTAGTTCCGACTTATGTGCAGTATATTACCGTATAGGTCATTGTAGTAACTCTGGCTAGATTGACTTAGAGCTATGAATTCAGCCGTACAGACTACCACAGGGGTTCCGGCTAACATATCATATTTCTATGAATTTATTCTTACTTGAATTGCTTACTCTGTTATATATTGGCATGGTATATATTTGAATATGATTATGTGAAGCATGAATTGAATTGATATGATTTCATATATATATATATATATATATATATGCTTATATTCTGATTTTGGGAAAAATTATACATGTTTTACAGCAAGGGGTTAGATATGTTGATAAAGAAAATGATTTTGTATAACATTTGTTTTTGCCCACTCACGTTTTCTGTTTTGCGCATCTCCAGGTTTTTAGTAAGCTTGCTGTTGGTAGCTTGAGGACGTCGGCAGTTCTGACTTATCTAAATAATAGTAGGTCATTCCTGGTACTGTATAACTAATACTTGTTCTACTGGACTGTACCTAGACTTTTATTCTTTGAATATGAGTGTTTACTATTGTAACTAACTCCTATCACTCTCTGTTTAGTAGTACACTCTAGTAATTCGGTTTTTAATTATTCGTATAATTCTTATCTTTATTGCTTCCGCACTGTGCACATGGCTACGTCACTCTCACGTGACAGCCAGCATGCCTTGATCTCGGTCGGGGTGTGTCATGTGTATTGATGATGTTTGTGATATATATGTGTTTAATTAACTTTTTAATAATGTGAATGATAATTATGATGAATGTTATGAAAATTATGGAACCTAAATATTGTTTGATAATTATTTGGATATGATTGCCAACTGAATACCTATTTGAACTTGGCACTATTACCTGGCATGAGATGTAGATGAAAGTTAGGAGATGAGTTAGGTATTTTATTAGATTTTTAGTAGGAATAGTAATTGAGGGAATTCCTTGTGTTGTGCTCCATATGACTAGATGTTGGTTGACATGTGGAATCGATAGCATGTATGCGTATAATTATGTATAATGTGTGATGATGAGATTGCACCATGTAGTAGTGGTACATGGATGATCCTGTTTGGTATATCCGCGATGGGGGACCATGCACACATTAGGGATGATCATGCTTGGTATATCTGCAATAGGTGATCACTGCCTATGGTATTAGACTATACATATGGTTCTGCTTGGTATATCTACGATGGGGGACCATATGTATTCAGAAGTGATCATGCTTGGTATATCTGCGATGGGTGATCACTGCTTGCACGATGAGATTTTGCCTATGGTTCTGCTTGGTATATTTGCGATGGGGGATCATATGCATTCTATAGGTGATGATAATTAGTACTTGGTACATTTGATAGGCGATCATATTCAGTTTGGTTCCTTGAGTGATACGGAACCCAAGGTTGTTGGATTTCGTAAAGTGGTCTGAAATCCCATTATTTGGAGAAGTAGGCTTGGCCTAATTGTGTCACTCTAGCCTTAGTTTTATATATGTTTGTGACAATGGTTTCGAGAATCTTGTGAATTGAGTTTGAAAAGATGTTGGACGTCTGAGTGACTCTTTCGGGATTTTCTACGATTTGATTATGATTTCATAAGGTATGAATTTAGAAGATATGAGAATAATTGTTATTACTTTGATCAAAGTAGTTAATTAATGCGGCTAGAGAATGATTTTGTGTTTCGTTGGTTCTTAAATATGATGTATGTTGTGAATTGCGATATCATGATGAGACATAATGATTTATATGTTAGATGGGAAAGAAATCATGTTTTCATGGGGGTTGGTTATGTAGCTTGAGTCTCGAAATTACATGTTATCAGGTTATAATAAATGATTGAGAATGCTACTCTTTTCTGCTTGAACTTAGTGGAATAAACGTCTGATTTTGTGATAAGTGAACTACGAATGGCTTGATCTCTGTTGAGGGTACGTAGACAGCCTAATGAGGAGGTTAGATGCAGCCATAAAGTATACACAAAATTATTATGCATCTGGATCTTGAATTATATTTTGTACATATCCAAAAGGCGGGGTACGTTGAGTTACGAGCATTTAGTGACGTCACGTGTCGATCTTGGACGTATGTCGGGATCAGGGCATGACAAATTCAGAGTAGTTCACAGAACAATTGAGAAGTAATCAATTTTTCTTATGTCTCTCTCAATTTTTCTTGTTTCCACCACAAACCCTATTTTTTTTCCCCAATTAATTTTTTCCCGACCCTCCATCCCCAATTTTTTTTTCCCGACACCCATACACTCATCCCTTCGCTCTTCCCACCCCTCTTTCACTCACTCTCCCATCCCCAAATTTAAAAATCCAAACAAATAAATAACGAAATTTTAGACAAAAGAAGCTTACCAGAGGAAGGACTCCGAGCCGCAGAACGCGACCTGGAGAACGAGAGAGATAGCTGGGAGGAAGGATGGCTTCTTTCAGATATGGTGTAGCAAGCTGAAAGCTCCAATCTTTCCGTCAAGTTTTAGGATCTGTATAATAGCATAAAACAATTAAATGAACAAGGAAAAAAGAAAGACTTGCTTAAAATATAAAGGAATTTTTATTTTTGAAGAGATGGCTTCACACCTGAAGGATTTTTTTGAAACAGAGAAGAGAAGTGAGAGTGAGAGAGAAGTCTCGGAATTTGGAAGTCTTCGAGCGGGTTCTGGGAAAAATGGGGAAGATAGCGTGAGAAAGGAGATGGTAGGATTGGAAAATTGAAAAGTTCATTAACCTGTTACTGTTTACCCGTCATTTGTTGAAATGAGCTGATTTTTGAAAGCTGCTTTTTCCAGCTTTGGGCTTTTAACTTTTTTTTCATCCATAACTTTAAAAAGAAGCTGATTTTAAGTGTTAATCAAACATCTTAAATGCACTAACTTTTTTTTCATACCCACTTTTTAAAAAAGTTAAACTAAGTCAAACTGGGGCTAAGTGACAATAATAATTGTATTTTGGTTTCTTATAAATAGCATTTAGAATTTGCTTTAAAGAATTCCCACGGTCAAGTTTGGGTCATGGGGGTTAATAGTCCGGACCCAGACGGTAACGCTGATGTCACATGACCTACACTTACCGTCAACCTAGCACTTGGACTGTAAAATCTCCTTGTCCAATAGAATCTAAGGAAAATTAATGAAAAATGATTGAAAACTTTGAGTTTTAACAATAAAGATAAAATAAAAGGTAAAGTGAATAGTACAATGATTAACTTTTTAGTGTAAAAATGTAGTTTTTCGTTAAAGTGAACAGTACCTGAAACTTTTCATTAAAATTCTCTAGAATATACATATGCAAACGTTGGCCATCCCCGACGGAAACGACTAAAACCACCATAACACCTTTGGGACGCACTGAGATGATTGCAATGCTACAAAACTAACATTAATGACTGAGGCGACCTTCAGTGTTGTGTACGTATCAAGTTTGCCAACTTCTCCTTATCTGACACGTAGTGATACGAAAATAACAAATTTGAATTAACTTATTAACGAATTAGGTTGTTATTGAGTCAATAGTCAAAAGCTTGTTAACCATCGAGTCATTATTAGATTACCCATTAAGAACATAATAGTATATCATTTGCCATATTTAAACACTAGACATGATAATTTTTTGTATGATCCGTTATTTAATAATGAATCGAGTGGTTATTAAATTATATGTTAAGAACCCGTTAAGATAATAAATTTGACATGATATAATTTATTAAAATAACCATTATGACACGAAAACGACAATGATTCGATAAACACGATTCGTTTGCGAAGAATTAGTTCACTTTGATTTGATGGTGGAGGTCAGAATCGTCATTTAGTCTGTTAACATACGTGTCACCAACATCTTTGTTTTGTTCTCTATTTTGGAAAGATTTGACTGAAGTTTTATATGCTTCAACGTGGATCTTTGTGTCAAAAGCCACCCTTGAATCCGGTCCGTCTGATGGGTCTCATCACGCGGGCTCCAAACTCAATGTGACGGTTGGGAGTTGATCGAAACGTACTATTGACTTGCAATTTATGCTTGATTGCTTTCATCCAAGAATTTAAATATCGGTAATATCGGAAATATCGGTAGTCCGAAAACACGGAAATATCGATGGAAATATCGGGATAATATCGATATCGATAAAAATTATATGGAAACCACGGAAATTGTAAGAAAAACTTGGAAATTTTTATTGAAACTTTGCAGGATGTTTATTTAGTCAATTATCTATTAGTTTATCACAAAATATTGGAAGGAAATGCATTGCATGATGGATTTAACTTATTTAAGTTGATTATATAGCGAGCTGGCAAACATTGTGAGTGTAGAAAATATGTAGTAATTAATGAAAGAAGTTTAAACACATCATAATCATTTATATATAATGAATTAGTACAATATTTTACACTTTATTCGTCTTATAAATTATTTGCATGTTTTTTTTTTTACATTACACACCACGCCATCACACACACACACAGATAAATTTTTTCACATTACACTCTTACACACGCCACCACACATGCACACAGAGTTCGAGAGAACCCACACCACACACGCACACTGTGAGCTCTCAGTCAATCCCTCTCTCTTCTCCTTTCAGTCTTCTTGAATCCCCCATCTCCCCCCCCCACACTTCGAATCTTCAGATCCCCCCCACCCTCATTTCAATCTTCTTGAATCCCCCATCCTCCCCCCCCCCCACAATCTCCTCCCATCACTTCGAATCCCCCCACCTCCTTTCAGTCTTCTTGAATCCCCCATCCCCCCCTCCCCCACAATCTCTTCTCCGTTGCGCCTTCGAATCTTCAGATCCCCCCCACCCTTCAAATCTTCAGATCTCTCCCCCCCAACCCTTCGAATCTTCAATCGCCGCGGATCTCACCCCCCCCACAACCCTTCAATCGCCGCAGCCCCTGGAAATGGAAAAACGAAGGGCGAATTGTGTTATGGTTTTTGTTTTCGTTTGTATATTTTCCCTTTTTTATTGGTAAGATTTGTTCAAACCTCATCCTGCCATTGATTTTCATAACTGCTTCCCAGAGCCTCCCCAATTTCTTCCCCGCAGAAGCCCTCTCCTTCCCTTCCTACGACGGAGCCTCGGAGTTCGGCGATATTATCGGTAATATCGATAATATCGATATTATCGCGATATTTTGACGATAAATGACTGGATATGTGTAAAAATATCGCTCTCTGTAAAAAACGATATTATCGGCGATATTTCGCCGATAATATCGATATTTAAAACCATGCTTTCATCAATTAAACAGGCTCCACTATTAATGAGAGGAAGAGATAGACTTTAAGAGTTTTGTTGATGCACAAAATCAGAGGTTTTGAAACAGCGTAAATCCGACCGTGAATCTGCATAAAATGTAAATAACACAAGATGTATCGTGGTTCACCCCAAGGTTTGGGCTACGTCTACACTGATATTATTTCTGAGATGTTGAAGAGGGAGAGAGAGAGCTTCTCTGTTAGAATGAGAGCTCTGAAAGGGTGAGGGTATGGCCTCAGAAAATGGCCTCTCCCTAATTGTGAGGGTGAGGAATCCCTTTATAGAATAAGGACTCCTCACTTATTAAATATTTGCCCCTTCCATAATTACATTTAAGTCTCCCGAGTATTTATACGAGATCTAAATACGGAGGCCCTAAGTATGGTATAAACAAGTTTGATTTCTTACCTGTTCCAAGTCATGATATCAGGATTGATTTCACCATTTTATTGAAAATGTAATGTAGATTGTGTATATTTTATTATGAATAATGATTGTGTTTCCACAAGGGAAATTATTTGTCTCTCTACTCATAATTAATGTATTTTTACTATATAAATATTAGGGTAAATATCAGTTTATTACCGTTAAGTTTCGTGGTTTTCAACATTTGGTACATGAAGTTTTTTTCGTCCCAGAGTCATACCTAAAGTGTTAATTTTGGGACAGTCTCATACATCCGTTAGTCAAACTGTTAACACTGCCGTTAACTGATGATGTGGTGTTATGTGGATAATGACTGGACACCACATGTCATTAAGGGGTCCACGTGGAAATTAAAAACTCAAAAAAATAAATATTTAAAGAAAAATAAAAAAAACCAAAAAAAAAAAAGCAAAACCCAAAACCTGACAACCTTACCTCTCCTCGGACCATGACCAATTCCCTACTCCTTCGGCTGCTTCTAGAAACTCGAGGTCCTCTCTCTCGTCTACAATCTCCATCGAAAGCACCATCCCCCGTTTCTCGGCAACAGTTTCCAACCCTAAAAATGCCTCAACCTTTCCTACAACCAGTTTCACCCGGTCGGATCCCGGCGGAGCTTGGCAAGTGAAGAACCTTGAGGTGCCCTGGTTCACTCGATGAAACTCAGTTGGCGAGACCCCGACTCGCTGGGTCGTCTCAAGGAACCTCAAAGATTGGACCTCGCCTCGGCGACTTTGGGGACGGGGATGGGAGAAATGGGGGGGATTTGGGATGGAAATGGGGTGGGCTCAGGTGGCGACATCGAGAATTTTTAGGAGGGATGATGGGGGATGGGAAGGTGGGCAGCGCAATAGGCACCAATTCATCTTGGAAACAATTTGCTAACGGATTTGAATGAAAAATTAACACTTTATTTTTTTATAATTTTTTCTTTAAAATTTATTTTGAATAATTTCATGGACCCCTTTATGAACTTTAACGAAAAGTCTTGTCGTAGGCACCACTCATCTGCAAACAATTTTAACGGATTTTGGACTGTCCCAAAATTAACACTTTAGGTATGATTTAGGATTAAAACTTCATATACCAAAGTTTCACGAAACTAGAGGGTAATTTTATTTTTACCCTAAATTCTTATAATTAGAATTCATTTTTTTTTTTTTTAACTTTAAAGAAAGCTTTCGTAATTGTTCACTTTAACGAACCTTATTTTTATTAAATTCAATCAACCATGGTTTTATTTTTATTTTTGTTCTTATCGTTACTCAAAGTTTTTAAATCCTCTAGTTTTATTATTCTCAGATATTTATTATAATAATATGTTAATTTAGAGATTGTTTCCAAATTGCCTTTTATTTTCAGCTCCATGCATGGTGAAATGTATTGATTTCGTCAAAATTAACGGTTTTGGTAAATGAAATGATATCCAGTGGTTGTTTAACTCATATAAATGTCTAAAAGATGTTCAAATTGAAGGATTATTAGGAGATAAGATCATTAGCTAATGGTAAAAAGAACGAATAGTTGTGATTATGATATTCGTATAATGAATATGTTAATCATATGTGGATGAAGAAACAGGTTCCCTCATAGGGATGCACAAGCATTATCCTTTTTTTTATCATTTTGTTTCTATTTTATGATACAACATATGTATTTATGTTATGCATGGAGTAAAATAAATTTAAATCGAATTCACTGTAAATGAAGCTTTTGAAGCTGATTGACATAAGTGATGCTCATGAATGTTTATGTTGATTGACATGAGTGATGCTCATGGATGTTGTCATGAGTGATGCTCATGAATGTTAACATGAGTGATGCTCATGAATGTTGACATGAATGATGGTCATGAATGTTTATGTATGATTGTCATGAATGATGCTCTTGAATGTTTATGTATGAATGACATGAGTAATGCTCATGTATAATTTGGAGTACTGGACATACTTTTGATCACCTGGTTGGTGGCATGAAAGAGAGTACGGTTTGTACATTTCATCACCTGGTTGGTGGCATGAATGGCTAGTTGCCAAATGATAGTAGAGTACGGGTT